GGCCTTTGTGACACAGGCCCAGTCATACATACTGTATAATGATTCATATGCGAGGTGTGTCGATGGCTGTGCTGCTGAGGCGATGTCGTTAGAAGTGGTTGCTGAGAAGCCTGAACGGCTTGTACAGCTTGCGCCGCTTGCGCCTGTGCCGCTTGGGCAGCCTGGAGTAGTTGCTGAGGCTGCATCGCATTCAGAAGTTGTTGGCTCGCCGAGCTATTGCTCAGAAGATGCGGCAAAGCAGCAGGGTTCAGTCCTAATCCCGATGCCAGGCTGGGGCTCGTGGGAACTGATAAAAGGACAAGCAAATAGTACGATATACCGATGCTGAGTAAATCATAGAATAGGCACAACAGCCATAATACATATATATAAACATATCTAGATATTTTGATGAGACATTACAATGTTGTCAAAACATTTGTTATAATTTAATAAGGACAAAATTTAGAAAGAGATATATATTAAAAAAGAAATAAAAACAATTTAGATGTTTGATTGGAAATATCGATAAGATATCATTCAATTCTTAGCAGGTATTTAAAAAATTATTTATGTTATATGTTAGCATATTATTATCCAATTGTATATATTGTAAACAATTATTAATTTAAGGAAATTATTAGCAAAAAAGAAAATAATAACATACTTTAATTCTTTTTGTAAATATATATTTGAGTAAGAAGCATTTTTTAGAATGTAGCAAAATATATTTAGCGAAATTGTATATGTGTAGCTTTGCCTAAAAAGAAATATTGTGTCACACACACATATTGCTACGCGTAAAGAAAATTAATTGCATGTATTAAATGTCTTATAATTTTACATTGACGTAAAAAAATCTTATATACATATTATCTCTAAACTCACCATTGCTCGTAGGCGTGTTAAGCATATTCTGTGGTTGAGCTAGAGACTGAAGGTTCGCCAATGTCGTAGAAACTACCTGTCCATTACTGAGCGCCAAGTTTACCATTTGATTGTTCGTGACGTGGCTAACGGGTATGGTCAAGATGGTTTGCGTAGCGATTCCTGAGAAATACAAAACATTTTTCAAAAATGACACGTCGTGCTTGATAGAATTACAAGCGAGAAGGGATAATTAATTTATGATATCCTTCAAAAGCGCTATCTCGTATAATCGTATCTCGAATCAATAGATACTTCATTTTCATTATGAACGTAGTCCACGCGTCGTTGATCCAGGATGGGTGGTAAAGTTATCAGGGTCTCATAGAGGGATTATTAGGCAACCCATAGGGCAGGTAACCTCGCAGGCTAGCGTAGTTGGCAAACTATTATCGTCATCTTAATAGTGGGTACAGGTACTGGTACTGGACTGCGCTGCGAGAAGGACGCCTAATCATACTTAGAATAGTTTCGGGATTACCTCCAGCTCCGCTAATCTGATTACCCTGTACACGCGCTTAATATGATTACTGATCATGAGTACGTACCCGTGTTGCCACCTACAGCTAAGCTAAGCAAATCCCGTATTCCGAACAGCCATAAAAGTTTCACGTTCTGAGGTAAGGTCAACCGACAATCCGATTAACGTACAGTTCAAACGTTGCCGAACGATAACGCGCCGTTAATACGCCGTTAATAATGTGACGTCGACTCGCATCTGACAAATCCGCGACAAGAGATTCGAAACTATTTGACTTATCTTATCCGCGATAGCGATATTATAATTGGATTCGTTTACGTATTGCATTATCAATTAAAAGCAACGAAGAATTTTCTCATAACTTTTTTAGAAATATCGGAAATCTTATTACATCTAATTTATATCTAGTGCAAAGGAAGAATTCGAG